TTCTTAGAAATGATTCTGGAATTCTTTTAACAAATGCATTTTGTAGAGTAAACATTTTTTTACAAAATTAGATGTTTTACAGCTCTCAGAGAATCGTGATAACTGATTTGTAGCAATTCTCCCGGATGCCCCAAACACCAGTTAAAAACTGGTGCCTGCCTAGTTTTAACTAGTTAAAATGGATATATTCTTTTTAATTAAGGATACAAAGTGTGTCATAGAATTCTTCCTTATGCAATTCCTTATGAATTGTAGAATGAGAATATATTTTGTTCGAAGGAGAAGAAAGAAACTATATCAAATATTGGCAGTAAATTTTCAAATATTGATCTAAAAATTCATGTTTTCTGAAAGTCTATCGCAGATTTCCACAGTCTTTTACTTTCAAACGCGATAAAAGAATGAAATAGGTAAGAAACATTCGATGCGGTTACGTATTTTCTTCGATTTAAAACTATCTTGACAATTCGTAATGTGTAAAATTTCTTTTGTAATATCTGCAGAATATATTTTACCTCTTGTTTTCTTGAATTTTGGGAGAGTCGAAAATTATTTTTTTTCGAACATCCTTCGATCTTGTGTATATTTAGTGGAATTTATGTTAAAATCGAATGTAAAATAAAAAAAGGTTTTCTCGCAATAGAGTGATGGGATCCTGTATTTTAAAACGGCTATTGGTTTTTTCAAACCTATAGTGGTTTATGCATAACACGTACATACCATTTAATATTTCACTACTTGCACTTCTCTTGATTTTAGATAAAATTGTAGCTGTTTCATCATCATTGTCGAGTACAATGGGCATTGCCATTAAATGATTTATTAACGTGGTCATTTTTGTTGTTTCTTGTTGTATATTCCCATGTTGTTCATCTTGTGGATGAAGTGTAGCTGATGTTGATATAAAAAAATCTAAACGAGTTTTTACTCTTGACTAGGCCTGTAAAAGTTCACGTCGGCGTTCCTTGAACGTTAATGCTAAAGCATTGGTGAACGTGAGCTTTTTCATACGAACACTGTTCATATTGCTGAATTAAATATAAAATTCTGTTCTTGTACTGTAGTCAGAACATATATATTTCTGCTTGGTCTTATCTCATGGCAGTGACCAGATTATTGCAATGTAAGAAGGATAGCCATTGATTCTTCTAAGAACAGATCACTGATTTCCTGATCAGGAGACTAGTTTTTCCTTTAGTGGAACCGAAAATGCTTGGTCCAAACCATTTCCGTAACTACATACTTGCTCCTTTGTTATCGTAACTCATTTGGGAGCTAATGAGCGTTGATTTTTCACTAACTATAACTGGCAATGGGGAAAGTTGTTTCACTTGGTACTACTAGCTGAAATTGCTATATAACGTTTTGCAATACTATTTATTCCACATAAGATCAACATCGTTCATATAAAATAAAGTTCATGTTCATCAGAACACTCGGGTTCACGTTCAAGCAACACCAACGTGGTTTAGCATTCACATGCGAAGAAAACGCTAAAAAGGAACGGTGAACCTTTGCAGTCCTACTCTTGACCACTAATGAAGCTAAATTTAATGAGAATATTATACCATTCAACAATGTTGCTGTAGTGCCGAAAGTTGTTTCAGCATTATCAACTTTTTGACACGAATATTTGTACTTCTTCTTCTGTACACGTTGCTGACGAACTCTTTTTGCAACATTTTTTTTATCTTCAATTTGTTGTTTTGCTTTAAAATGTACGAAACAGAGACCGTATTTATGTTGCTTCTTTTTACAATTATCTTTGATACACGATACAAGCCATTGTTTTCCGTGATACTTAATATTTTGATCTTCATAATTGAATCGAATATTGCCAGCTTTGAATGATGTCGCCGATAAAGATGTTTCTACAAAGAGAAAAAGAAACCTACTTATTTATTTTTTCAGATCAATGAGACAAAAAACATGCATTTTTCAGAGTAGTTGTGGATATTAGTGAACGCGTTAAATAAAGCAAATGAGCCGAACAATCATTAAAAAATCTGTAAGGTACTTCCGACATATCGGACACATTTCATGGTATACGACCTACCTGATTCCATTGGTATTGTTGCACTATCATCATCTTCAATTTTTCTTTTATTACTGGATGTTGTCATTTTCTTGTTATCTTTTTCATAATGTTCAATTTGTTTTTCTTCAAATAATCGCTGACTTCGACGAGTTGTTGGTAAGATAGAATTCATATTTCTTCTCTCTTCTTCTTCACGAAAATGAGCACCACAAAATCCATCAATAGAATACTTTTTAGGGCAATTTTCTTTTACACATAATCGACACCATTTCATTCCATCATAGATAGAACGACGATGTGTAAGTTTGTCAACACGATAATCACCTTTGACAGGAATTGTTGACGACATCTGAATAGAATACAAACAAACAAACAAAACTGAACTAATTTTGGTTAGCTTTGTATAGAATGTATATTGAAATTACTGCTGAGAAAGAAAAATTGTAATCACCGATTGATCTAGTTCTTTACTATTCTTAATAATAGGCACAAAATAACAGTTTTCTTACATTTTTATTCAACAGTTCTAAGAAATAGGTCGATCTGTTTGAAAAACGTCACTGTGTAGTGAACTATATGTATCTAACAGAGCAGAAAAAACTTTTATCTTAGTAATTATTTTTTAATTTGGAAAGAAAAGCAAAAAGCACAAGTTTTCACATAAACACTAATAAACAAAATATTTTCAATATCAAAATCATAAACTAAAACAAATAATCAATGCATGTTTAACTTCAATTTTGATTAAAAAATTTTGTTAACATTTTCCATAATTTTAAATGTGATTTAATTTGATTTGTCAGAAAAGTAAACGAAATTAGTTAGGTTTTTTTGAAATTATTTGTACAATAGGATCTGTAGTTGTTGTTCGTAGTGATGGTTAATATTTCTCAATAATTAGCGTAAAGTGATAATGGACGTAAAGTAGAATTAGTATTACTCATCATAATGAAAAGTCAGAAAAGAGAGATGATTCCATTCCATTCTCGTATGGTCACATCTCTTGCTTCTAAACCTTTTTGTCCTTGCGTAATTTCAAATTCAACTTGTTGATTTTCTTCTAATGTTTTAATATTAGATTAATATTGGAAAAATGAACAAAAATTTCAGTACCGTCGGTTTTACGGATGAAACCAAAACCTTTTTCTTTTGAAAAACGTTTCACTGTACCAACATGACGACCTTGTGGAACAAAAGATCTATCAGTAGATCGAGAATGAGACAATGCGTATCTAACACTATTCAACATTTTTAACTTTATCTGCTGCTACTCAAAAAACCACACATAGTAGAAAAAGCATTAAATTCAAAATCAAAAATAGTTTATCATCGGCTGGATTAATGTAATTTGTAGATTACGGATGTCAGTGATCGTTATTACAGCAAATTGAGTGTGACAATGTTTAGAATAAGTAAAAATATGACGAACTCTATAGTTTTCTAACATCGTTCGTGAACGTTGATGCTGCAATTCATTAATGATTGTCCACTAATATTTTAACAATATTATCCTTGGTTTTCTCCCTATATTCTACAATAAATCATCATCTTTAATATGATAGTGTACAGTAATAGTGCCATTGTTCTCTTCGCGGTATTTGCTATTAGAAAGTATTGCTTTCTATTGTAGTTCTCTTATTGTTGTTAAAGAAATATAAGATTCTTGGTATTTATCACTGACTGAGTGTGCATCTAGTAATATATACATGTATTTGCTACTGACAATAAATTGTTTGTGAAATTTTAAAAGCGTTTATGGATACCATTCAAAGAAATGAATGATTCAAACAATGGTTGTTGTCGATAATGACAAGAGTTGGCCAATTGAACATTAAAAAACAATGAAGAATAAGATAAATGACATGTAATGGTTGTTGTGTTTGTGCAAATATTTCGACAAGAGTAAATAAGTTGATTATTTTTATTTTTTGCTGTTGTTCAAGGTTTTTGGGACAGTTCAAGATACAAGTTTTATCATCAAGTTCATATTCTAAAATATCTACTTGTAGCATGACAAAAATGTTCAATAAATCGATCAAAAATCACTTCATGAAATAGAATAGAAACTTATTGTAGAAAATTGTTTTCTAGTAGTACTGTTCGACGTCTGTTTCTTATATGTGTTTGTTCTCGTCAACTACTGTCAATCAAAACAAAAACTTACAATATGCAAGGTGCACGATAATCTACTCTAGAAGGACGAATAATCTGTGTCAGCCGTTAAACTGTCTCACATTATAGCATTACAGAATTTTATTACGATTTGAAAAGATGTAATGAATTCGTACAATGAGTTACTTTGTGTTCACAGAGCAAATTAATCGGATTTCAACATGTCCATCATTGATGATGACTTCTTTTTCTATAACGTAACTCTTAACAGGAAACAATGGTTCATCGAGTAATCTTACGTTGAATGATACCTACCTTAGTCTGCAATTCCTTCGATTAAATTAAAACAGAAGTCTCGAGAAAACGTGAACTTCCCTTGTTAACTGGAAGTATGAAAAAACATATTTCATTTTTACGTCATAAATGCACGTTAACAATGGGAAAATGTCAACATAGACAAATAATAGTTTCATCCACGAGAAAAATGAAAAATAGTCGATATTTTTAGACGGAGATCTATGATGCTCAAAGTCTATATCCTGCATCTTGACATGTTCATAAATTAAAAGTTAAAAAAATATCATACAAAAATTATCTCTTTTTTCATTCACTTTTACAAACAATGTTTTCTCGTTTATTAAACGCAGATGAAAAAAGAAAAAAAAAGCAAGAAAGACAATCAACAAGCGCTTAGCGTAACATTAAAAGAGAAAAAGAAAACGAAGAGAATACAAAGACATCCGGTTTATATACGAATAACTTTTCCTAAAATTTGTTCTTTTTTCAAACATATTAAATAATAATTTAACCAATTGAGGCTAAATAATCCTTAACTTCAGCTGGTGTCAAACGTCTAAATCCATCTTTATCACAAATACCAATTTCAATATTATCTTCGGTCATTTGTCCTTCAAATGATTCTTTCAATGTCAAAATAGCGGTATGAACAGCATCTTCTAATTCTAATTGATCAGAATAACTAAAAAGAAGAAGAAATCTAAATAAATAAATATGAAGATGAATAAATATTTTTCGTACCGTTTTTCTAAAAATGTTTTCCCATTAATAAAATTTCGACCGATAGCTGTTGCTTTCCATGGAAAATAGGAACCCTAATTAAATAGAGATAAACAACTGTGGAGAAAAACAAATGTAAGTATTTAATCAAGAATTCAGTTAGGTTGTTTTGTCTAAGAAGAAGAAGCTAGGAAGTTGTATCACGAAAAATCTTAAGTGATACTTAAGCCTAAACCAAGACTTAAGACCTCATCTTAGATTCAAATCGTATTATAAAAAAACTTAAATTAAAGGGTGACTTAAATCATGGGAAATGTAGTCTTAAAATTAAGACCGAAAACTTAAGTCATTGATGCATTTTTTTGAATAGCTCAAACATTTAACGATACGATTCGATAAAACTTTTTAAGAAGGTTTATAAATTAAATATTTCGTTATTTTGCAAGTTTTTATCCCAAGTTTGTCACCGACTTTCAACAAGTAAACAAATCACCACCTTCAGTCTTTTCGTAATATGATTTAAGTCCTCGGACATAAGTCGATCTTAAACTTAGATTTAAAATCATGGCTTAAATCGATGATTTAAGCCTTTTTGTAATAAGACTCCCAGGAAAGAGTTGAATTACTGTTTTTTAAACAAAAATTTTACTTTGTATTACTGTAAAACAAATGCAATGCTATTCGATTATCTTTACAGATGCTAATCTTTCTGCGAGAAAAATGTATAACTTCTTGCATTAGTAGAAATTAGTAACAACAACCTCGATTGACAAATCGCTCCTTTTCGTTTTACGTATAGTGAATATTACTTATCATAAAAAATAAATCTCGTTCACTTGTACTTTTGTGTTATCAGTGGCGTAGCCCGGAGTGGATCTATTGAGCTATAAACTGCCCTTTAGAGACTTAACTTACACAATGGAATAAAATATTAACTAACAGTGGCATCAACGATATCGATCAGAGGATGAAAATCCCCCGTCGTTTGGATAAAGTTACTCAAAAAATTTTGACTTTTTTAAGAAATTAAAGTTGAGAAACTGCCTTTTATGCACCTGAGTAAGTGATTTTCTCTAACTTCTGAGTAACTCATTTATTTGCTGAGAAACTAGCTCTTATGCACCTGAGTAAGTTTCTTCAGCTAATTGACGACTGTCAGTCTTTTAATTAGCTTAAAACATGCAGTTACTCAGAAAAAACTTTTACTCAAGAAAAAACTTTAGTTACTCAGCAGACTCTTCACCCACCACATCAAAACTTCTATCGAAAACGCTGAATGACATCTGTTCATTTACGAAAAATATGCAAAAAAAGAATGAAAAAAACACCCAATTTGTTTAAATAAAAGTTCTTTTTTTGGTATGATGAAAAAGCTTAGATCCACTCCATATTAAAATACTGATTTCGCTGCTAATCTTTCTTCGAAAACATGTATAACTTCTTGCATTAGTAGAAATTAGTAACAACAACCTCGATTGACAAATCGCTCCGCTTGACAAAGCTTTTCGTTTTACGTATAGTGAATATCACTTCTTATAAAAAAGCAACCCTTATTTACTTGTACTTAGTGCTATTAGTGGCGTAGCCAGGAGTGAATCTGCTCTCTCAAACGAAAAGGTTTATTACGAAACTTAAAAGGGTATAGAGAAGTGCAATCATTTCTAAACCCTTTTAGGTTTCGTCGAAGACATGGTACAGTACGAAATCGTTTAAGTGCATAAATTCTAGCAGTTTTTTTTCTGAACAAGTGGACCATTTCAGCAGCTTAGGCATGTTTTCATTGTATAGGAGGGCGAAAACTGAGCCCAAAAAACCTCAAACTTCTGTAATTTTTGATTTGTCAAGAAAAATCATGAGGAAAAAACATAATGAAATAAGCAAATGCACTCACTGATCAATCATTTCAATGCACTTAAAACGATTTCGTACTGCACCATGTCTTCTACGAAACCTAAAAGGGTTTAGAAATGGTTGCACTTTTCTATATCCTTTTAAAGTTTCGTAATAATCCTTTTTTTTACAGAGTAGTGAATCCTAAACCATCCTTTAGAAACCTAACTTACACAATAGAATAAAATATCAACTATCAATGACATCTATTCATCTACGAAAAATATGTAAAAAAAGAATGAAAAAAATTCAATTTTTTTGGATAAAAACTTTTTTGATATGATGAAAAAACTTAGACCCACTTCATATTATAATACTGATTTCGGTGCTGTATGACATATTAATACTAGAGATCATATTATTATCGTACCTTTCAGTTTCTTAGTTTTCAAAGGAAGCAGATTCCATTAAGAATTAATTGTTCTCACAATCCCTACTATCGTAGGCACATGAATTATTTTTCAACTTACCGATGGGTCACATTGATACAAAAATGGTCGATCTTCATCATAATCATAACCACATAGCAATAATGAAACACCAAATGGACGAACACCACTAAAATTTAAAATTAAACACAAATATCCACTGTCATATTAGAAAGATGTTCAATGAAGAACACGTTTTCACTACATTTCTAGTAACAGTTGAATGTACATCATCCTTTTGTCACTTTTATACTCTCAATTTTTGCTGTTAAAATATATTTTTATTTTACCCTGATTGTGTATATTCTTGCATAACATCCGCAACACGTTTAACTAATTGTGTTGGTGGCACATTTTGTTCATAAATTAACATATATTCTTGAGCTAATTTACGAGCTTTTTGAACGAGTAATCTAAAAATAGGAAAGAATTATTATTAACACTTAAATATTAAAATAATTTGATCAATAATTTACCTAAAATCTGGTCCCATTCCACTATAGACAACTCCCATATTCTTACAAATTGATTCAACTTTATGTATTGATCGATCATCATGTAATAATGATTTTGATTTTTTCTCTGTGGCCAAAACAACACCATTTTTAGCTTTAATACCAACAGCTGGTGAACCGGCATTTACTGCATTTAAAGCATATTCAATTTGAACTAATTTACCACTGGGACTAAATGTTGTCAATGAAAATCCATAACGTTCAGACATATTGATGTTACTATGTAGAGTTACAATCGAAAATGTGCTTATTGATCTAGAAAAAAAATATATAAGAGGACAATTCGAAACGAGAATTTACACAAAAATACTCGAATAATCAATTATAATTAAATGAAAATGAAAAACAAGAATGATTAGTGTTTACGATGATACAGTATTTGGAATTCGTGTGAGATCAGTTTTCAAAATATTATAAAAAGAACGCTACTTTTCTAACAAGTCAACCAGAAAGTCTAAAGAATATCTTCTCACTGATCAACCGACGTTTGAGCGAACGACATTACCGTGAATAGGACCCGACACTTCCACGAATTTTTCTTAGTACACATTTGAGTATTTTTGGCAGTGTGTTGTGGGAGGTGAGAGTTCGTTCGTAAAGTGGTTTCACACAAAACATATTTTCATCATCCGGTTTTCCACATGTCATTAGCACGCTTGTCTTGTTGTAGAGATACTCACAGCCACCTTCCCTTGCACACACGCAGTTCTATGTTTGCATTTTTATATTTTGAGAGATATTTCTCTCTAATCGTATTGATATACATTCACTGAAACATTTAAAATGTTTCACGATGTCCGTTTGTCTTTCAGATGAATAAACGTACATCTAGGCTGACTGTCCGATATATTTGTTATGAGCGAAACTGTATATCTGTAATTGAATCACATAATGACTATTCTCTACATAAGTTCACTCATGTTTCATGTCGTTCGCTCAAACATCGGTTAATCCTTCTCACTGATTACAAAGACGTTATCACTTTAAGAATCAAAGACATTTTCAATCATTCTCAACTTGGTTCACCAAAAATAAAAGCATATTTTCATACTGTTCGACTAAACATACAGTTAGTTGAGTATACTATAAAACGCAAGTATTTCCACTGACGTTGAGAGACAAGTACATCCTTATCTGTTAACAGACGTCAAGATACAAACTTGAAAAAATAAGCTTATTTTTACTTTACTATCAATAAAAATCTTATGAGAAGCTTATAAACTACGTTTGTTCTCAAGTAAACAACATAAATCACTATTTTTATTTCTTTTGTTACTATGTGTGATTTGATTAATGAAAACCTTTTTTTGTAGAAAAAGAAATAAACAGATTACAGGATAGTTATTTTCTTCTTCTGAATATAAACACACGCACACGAACAAACAAACAAAAAAATTTTCTGTTTGACCAAGTATAAAACAGTAACATGAATTTAATGTAGTAGTAGTAGCAAAAACGACAAAGAAAATAGACAATTTCCTAGCTAGTGACAAAAAAAAAGAGAGAAGAGAAAACACAAATACTGCATGTTTATTTTTGTTCTGATTCATTCCATTCTCGTATGGTCACATCTCTTGCTTCTAAACCTTTTTGTCCTTGCGTAATTTCAAATTCAACTTGTTGATTTTCTTCTAATGTTTTAAAACCGGGTCGATTAATATTAGAAAAATGAACAAAAATTTCAGTACCGTCAGTTTTACGGATGAAACCAAAACCTTTTTCTTTTGAAAAACGTTTCACTGTACCAACATGACGACCTTGTGGAACGGTTTGTTGGGATTGCGAAGAATTCGAGTTCGTTTCCATTCCACTTCCCATATTCAATCCTCTACTTCTATTGTTACTACTACCTTTTCCGAACCCATGATCACCCTCGGAAAACATTGATCGCTGTTGTTTTTGATTTGAAAAATTGGGTTCTAAAAATAGAAAAGAAAAGACTTAGCCCTTATTTTAGCTAATATCTTCGAATTGTTAACTATACCTGAAATAACTGTGACGTCTCGTGCTTCTTCTCCTTTTTGTCCTACGACAACATCGAATTCAACACCTTGTCCTTCATCCAATGACTTAAATCCTACTCGATTTATATTTTTATAATGAACAAATATATCTGATCCGTCGGCTTTTGTGATGAAACCAAAACCTTTTTCACCAAAAAATTTACTAACAGTGCCAGTTTGACGTTGGGACTGAGATGATACTACGTTTGGTTGAGCATCAGTTGAATATAACTGACGACGTAGATAATGTTGACATAGTAATGACGATGAATTTGTTTGACCCATACTAGAAGCATTTTGCTGCTGAAGATGAATGAGTTGAATTTGTCTTCCTGTCGTGGAAATAACACGTTTTATAAATGACAACATGATGATCTATTTGTTTGTTGACTTTCTGTACGTATGATGAACAATAAAAGATTAGACAAGTTAATCTAAAAATGCAGAAAATAAGTTATCGTTCTGTTTCTTCTGCTAGCAATTGATTGTCTGGTTGATAAACCGTACTGTTTGAATGTGATGCTCTTTATTTTTATAGGATCAATATATGAATAAATCACAGGCAGCTGTTTTAGTACTCATTGGTAGACCTTCGTAGACCGGAAAACATATGGAAGCAGTACAAAACTTTTCCACTGAAAAGAATCTCGGTACACTCGATAAGCATCTATCGAGTGCAACATGATGTCACTCAACTAAGAGTAGAGTATCTCTTGCTCAAAAAGAAAATTTTTCATCTCTTTCTAAGAGTCAAAAACTGTAATGTAACAAAGATAGAGTCAACTACACTACTATAAGTGTCTATAAAGTAGCCATACAAAGTTAACACTGATTGTATTGCTTTACGTGCAGTTTTTACGAGTCGCATACTCAGAAGTGATAGATTGAGCTATTTATTACCAACTTAAGTTCTCGTGCAATGATTAGCGCGAGAGATATCGAATTAAAACTCGAAATAATACTGGAGAGAATTATTTCTAGGAAGCCGCGTATTCAGCTGACAACTTGGACTATGTTTCAATATAGAATGGCGCAAATTCGTGGAAAACGTATTCCCTTCCTTAACTAGCACGTGACGAAGCAGATGTCACTAATCGTCAACGGATACGATCATCGCACTTCGCCGCACATAATTCTGCAAAACGTCTGCAATAAAGGTGTTTCATTTCAAAGACGGCGTGCAAGATTCGGTAGGAATTGGTCCCTCTTCAAAGTGTTTTAATTTCGATGTAGATCGATAGAGAATTCAGTTTTGTTTAGTCTTTTGTATTTTTCGGAACTTGGAAATCCATTTTGTTGCAAAAATAAATTACCAACGTTTTTGACGCTGGATTGCTTGCGTTTTACTTTTTCTGCAGCTCCCATTTCCCTAGTGAAGCTTTTTTTCTCAAGCACATGAGCAAGCATACCTCAAGATTTGTCTCCATGCACATGAATTTCTTACTCATGCAAAACGCTTGAGGTATATGCTTGACTTTCTTGTCTTATGCGCTGGCTTTGCTTGAACTATGCACATAAGACAAGAAATATCTAAACAATCTGCATACCTCAAGAAACTCAAGCACATGAGACAATAAAGTCAAGCACATAGGTCAAGAAAGGCCTGTGCATATCTCAAGAAACTCATGTGCCTACCTTAGAAAGTCATGCATTACCGATTTCCCGCTTTATAGATAGCTCTCGCTTCGTTTTTTAGACTTGATTACACCATGTTTTACTCGGACTTTTCTTCGAGAACATGATGCAATCTGTTTTTTAGCCTTTCTCGACCATCCGGCACTCTCATAACCTTTATCTACAAAGGAAAATAAGCCGTTTTCAGTGAAAAGTTCATGACAGTTCAAAGCGAGTACACAGCAATTTTGACTTTCTACTATTCACTCCAGACTTTAAAATCTTCATGTTACACTGTTGAATATAATTTTTCGATACTCTGCTATATGTTTGTTCGAGAAAAATTTCCCTCTCAGACTAAGTTCGCTCTGCGTTGTATTTCTCAGTTTTGGTTTGACGTGTGACTAGAATTTGATCTCAGAATAAAAGTGAGAAAGGTTGATGTCTTTTAAGGTATGTCTGTGAGTTTTACCGATAAGGTAACGTTTACCGTATGTGAAGAAAACATTCACGCTTGACATCCAGAGAAGCGTATATCCATAAATACTAGACGCTAATATCAGTTCGTTGCTAGAGCCAATCTAGCATCCTGTGAATGAGGCGGTATAGCTTGGCATCCAATCCTCTGTGCATCAAACAGGACCAAACTGATACTTGCTACATCCTGGAAGCCGCCAACGGGATATTCGCACATGAGATATTCAAGCGCTTGAGATAAGAATCTCATGCGCATGAGTTTCTTGAGATATGAAACTCAAGCACATGAGTCAAGAAAGTCAAGCGCATGATATCGGAAAAAATGCGTTTTGCATGAATAAGAAATGTCTCCACGCCGTGAGATTCTTACTCAAGAAATCAAGAAAGTCATATGCTTGAGAAAAAAAGCTTCACTAGAGTTGCTTTTTCCGCCACCATGAAAACTTTAATCACAAACCATCCAGGGGTAAAAATATTGGCAAAAAAGAGCGTTAAATGTTTCAAAACCAACGCTTTTTTTGTGTCATTTAAACGCGTTTTCCTTTACCTATCCGTTTGAAAAGGCGTTTTTCGGAATTTCGCAACGCGTTCGTTACTTTTGCGTTAAAAACGTACAAAAATGCGTTCTCAAAAGTTCTAGAACGCGTTTAGATGAAACATTTAACGTGTTTTTTGATCGTTAAAAACGAAATAAAAACGTGTGAGAACAGAAAATGTTGGTAAAGCTAAAGGTGAGACTTGGTTACCCAGTAGGACTTCCCAGGTCATAAAAAATGAGTTAAAAAATGAGCCATAAATGACTCATTTATATGCCATCTTTGAATCATATTTATCTTATATTCATCTCATTTATTGTATCATAATGTAGTGATAGTTATGTCATTGTTTTATGCGATAAATATTATCCTAGTAGGGCCTTCGAAATATGATCCTATCCAAATCATTTCAAGATCATTTATGAGCAATTTTTAGATCATAAATATAATGGTCGAGAAGCGACTTTGGCGGAAGCTCATGTCGGTGTCATAAATATACCCTAATGGGACATAAATGACTCATTTTTGGATCATCTCTATGTCCTACGGATGATTATAAAATGAGACAACAGGTTTTATATCATTTTATAGCCATAATTACATCATTTCAATGACATATAAATGCGTCATTTATGTCCCATTATGAAAAGATATGACATAAAAACGATCAATCGCAGAATCCGTTTTTTTAACTGATATTATTTTTGATTTGGCTTATTACGTTCACAGTCCCGTTTTGACTGTTATTATTAATGTATAAACAAACTTTTCAGATGATTAGCCACTGAGAAAAGGGACCGTTTCTCCTTGACACTCTTCCTGACGTAACAAACAAATAAGGTTTCTCTTTCACTAATGAAATTCGAGAAGGGAATAAAGGCAAGGTACTGTACTAGAAACTGTAAAGTGAGATAGGGAGAAATAGCTGATAGATCGACCGTATCAGATAAAATCGAGTTTGTTGAGCGAATGAATACAAACAAGATAGATAGATATTACAGGTAACGATTTTTTTAACCAACCCAGGTCAAAGAATCTTGCTGTAAGATCTTATAAGATTCTTGTACGATTCCGTCTGATTTCGTAAGATTCGTATACGAATTTGTAAGATTCTGTAAGAAACATAGAAACTGATTCTTGACATAAGATCTTATAGTAAGATTTCATCCGATTTCGTAAGATTCTTGTATGCTTTTTATAAGATTTTATCAGATGAATCCGTTTCTATGATTTTCTGTAAGATTTTATAAGATCGTGTAAGATCTTGATTTTATTTTTTGACCTGGGAATATGAGATAGATGATTAGTACATATGAGTAGATAACAGAAAAAACATGCATGATTAGTAAAAAAGTGAATTACATTTTAGTAGAAATGAAAATCTAGCTGGATTAGATAATAAAGAACTTTCACACAGACAAAATAAAAAAGCTATTGGATGAACCTTGAAGTTTAATCAATCTGAATACACACAGACGCACACACAATAGAGTAGACTCTCTCTCACACTCTCAGAAAGTCATTGTAATGAGTATGATTATTCTGCTTCATTATTTGTACGATTATCTGGATCAGCATCACATCCATCATCATCGGCTCTTGTTGAAAGAGCTGCAGCTTTTTCATTCTGTCGTTTTTGGATTTTCGCATTCGAACATTTTCCTCGCAACGTTTGAACAATTCGTAATTCATAATAAGTTGCACAAAAGTTTTCAGTCATACAAAATTTATTTCGAATTGCACCTGAATGACAGAAGCAGCTTCCTCCAATGGTCATCTAAACTAATTTTAACTCAGTGAATGCCGAAACTATTAGGTTAGTTAGTGTTAGTACATCAAGTTAGTATGTCTATTCTAACGCTCTATCTATACCACAAATAACTCAACTAGCACGAATAAAAGCAGAAGCTCTCAGCAAATTTTGCACTGAATTTAAAATCAAAACATAAATACATTTTCCTCTGTGGAGATGATAGTTACAGCACGCTCAGTAAGATCGTCGCGTAGTTTTACCAAATATGCTTATCTCCATTCCTCATCGTGACGAAAAATGTGAAAAACAAATTCGATAAACTTTAAAGCTTCCAGTCCAAATTCAGTAACTTTCGGCGAGTCACTGACACCTTCTAAGACTTATAAATGGTCCGATTCAGTTATGTGAAGCACAAGACCTCTGGTATCCGTTTTTCCCCAGGATTCTCTGTATGAAAAGAAAATTAAAAATTCCATGTGTACGTAGAACAGACGTACTCGTGAAAGTTCTCAGGAAAGACAAAAAACTTGAAGAATGTAGCTACAGTGGCTACAGCAGTGTTAGTTAAGGATTTGTCCGATGCATTTTCTTTCTTGTAAAGAATGTCTCCAGATTTTTCCTGCTATGTCATCTTCATTGCTAGGGGCTGCACTTTTGAATACAGGTTACAAACTATTTAATAATTATACAGTAACAAAGTTCCCACCGCCAAACGTTTTCTTTTCAAAGCTCCTTTGTCATATTGCATCCTCAACAAAACGCAAATTGTTTTTAAGTTTTTAAGCCATGAACGTGAAATGATTGAGTACCCAATATGTGCAATCCTCGGGGGAGTTCCTGCCAACTCCTCATTCACCGTTTGTTTTGCAGATAGATAATATATAAATATAATGTAGTTCTATAATAAAATTTTACGAATTTTCTTCTAGTAAGTCAACATTAATGTGTCAACCTTTAATGGCTGATATGTGCTACACTAGTATCAGCGATGGTACCTGGTACTTAATTACTACTATCCATTTCAAAAAAGAAGAAGCACGGCCATTTCTTTGATAACTTTTTCTAAGAAGCAGCTAAAAAGGTGCGGTTTTCAGTATCGGAAAGCGAAATGTTGGGGTAATATGAAAAACTA